ATCCTATTTTGTTACCGCAGAAGCATCACGTGACTTCAATTATAATTCATGACGCTCACTTGACAACATTACATGGAGGTAATACGTTAACATTGGCCTATATAAGACAAAAATATTGGGTGCTTGGCGGGAAACGTGTAGTAAAGAGCTACATAAGAAAATGTGTAAAATGTATTCGATATACAGCATCGGCAAGTAAACAAAAAATGGGGATACTACCGAGAGCCCGAGTAACAGAGTCATTTCCGTTTACTCATACTGGGGTCGATTATGCAGGACCCATAAAAGTGAGAACAATGAAAGGAAGAGGGCATAAATCGTACAAAGGATATATTGCAGTTTTTGTGTGTCTGGCGACAAAAGCTATACACCTTGAATTAGTAGGAGACTTGTCCACAGAAAGTTTCATAGCGGCATTACGGCGGTTTATGGCAAGAAGAGGCCCAGTATCACATATATACAGCGATAACGCTACAAACTTTGTGGGAGCAGCTAATTTCTTATACAAGGAGCTGTTAGAAATAACCCAATCAGACACATTTCAAAGCAGTGTGACAGCTATGGGAACGCAATGGCATTTTATTCCCCCATCGTCGCCACATTTCGGCGGTATTTGGGAAGCAGGAGTAAAATCAATGAAACACCACTTACACAGGGTAATAGGAGACCAAACATTAACTTACGAAGAATTATCTACATTTTTATATCAAACGGAAGCCTGTTTAAATTCTAGACCATTGTGTGCACAAAGTGAAGACATAAATGATAATGTAGTGCTAACACCAAGTCATTTTTTGATTGGACGAGAAGCAGTAGGAATACCTGATCCACTGTCTAACATTAATACGGATTTGTTAAATAGATGGAAAAATATTCAAAAAATGAAAAGAGACTTCTGGAAAAGTTGGACTCGTGATTATTTACAACAGTTACAACAAAGATACAAATGGAAAACAACGGAGAATAATATATCAATTGGAACGTTAGTACTTATGAAAGAAGATAATATTAATCCTAGCAATTGGCCACTTGCGAAAGTCAAGGAAATACATAAAGGCAATGATGGTTTAGTTAGAGTAGTTACTCTTAAAAAATCATCAGGCGCCATTCAGAAACGATCGATACACACGCTCATTCCGTTGCCTATAAATGCGGACCTGAGTCATCAATCGCAAACCAAAGTTAATACGAATATTACTACATGCTATAGTAATAAGAGTCCGAGGTCTTGTAGAGGCACGTCAAAATGGCTATTATGCTTACTAATAATGTTACAATTGTTCGGTACTATGATTGCTACACAGACATATACCGTGAAGAATTTGTCTCCAGGATTTTATGTTGAAAACATAGGAACCGCAAACATAGATCGAGGCATGTTTCGTATAGAGACGGTATATAAGAAAGAGCGACTGAATGAGGATTACATTAGGATAGAAAGTGCATTATCCAAGTTTAAGCAACTTTGTGACAAGGCGGACGTTGCAACGACGGATACACATTGTAATCAATTTTATCATCATTTACTGGAGCAAAAGACAAAATATGAACGCATCAAAGAATATTTTACAGAGTTTCATGAAACGCGAAGGAGAAGGGGTTTGCTGGGGAATTTTTTAACCTCAGTGTTTGGTGTAAATGACGAGATATACAGAGACATAGATTCGTTAAACTCAAACCAACAAAAATTGATTGAAGCATCTAGTCACCAAACTAAAATCATGATATCGGCTATTTCCCAAGTAAATGGTACTGAAGAAAGAATAAGACATAAACTAGAAGGATTTCAAACAAAACTGTCACAAGTAATAGAGCGCATAAATAGCTATGACTATTGGTACATTAAAACTAATCACAATGATATAAAGATTCAGATTTTGCAAACGTTCCAAGTAGCCAATAATTACATTGACGAAATTTTAAACTACTACAATGGGTTATTAGAAGTATACTTAACAAAGGCTAGCGTGTATAGTGTCTTGCCACCCAAAAATGTTAGTGAATTAATATTTTCCGCAAATAGGAAGATGCCATCCAACATTAGAATAGTCCAAGAACTATTATTAGATACAAGGATAGTCGAAAATATGACTCATATACAAGTACACGCTTATTTTCCAATTAAAGATATTACAAAGTATACTTTAATTCATGTTACAACCAGTACCTAAGAAGAATATGAACAATACGTTCGAAAGCATAGAAGTATCGAGAGCATTTTTAGCAATTGATTACAATAATGAATTATACTTCGAACTGGACCACGAAGAATTCAAAGAGTGTATACAAAGGCACGAACAGTTTCTTTGCTTCCCTGGAGTGGTGAAAAACATGCAATTAAATGAAAATTGCATCGTTGACCAATTATTCAAAAATCAAACTAACACTAAATGTCCTACCCATATCTTTGAAATGTCAAGTAATATAATTTGGAAACAGCTATGCATGCAAAACTCATGGTTGTTTATAACAAAAACTAGTAGCACTATATCCATAGTTTGTGATAGTAAGCGAGAAGAAATAACCATTCAAGACGTAGGAGTAATAAAAATCGCTGACAATTGTATCATAAAATCCGTTAACAACAGACTCGCTGCTAAGAGAACGTTATCAATTCAGGTAGCAGAGTCCTTTTCAAAACAACTAAATTTTAGTATATACACATATATATCAAATCGAAGTAAAAAACTAAATATATCTAAGGAGGCTGTAATAGAAAGTTCCAATGACTTTTATCAGCACTTAATAAATGAAGAGTCCTGGATTGGAAATAGAACTTAACGATAACATATGGAAGGACATTCAATCTCACACATACTTAGTGAGCTGCGTATCATCAATAATATTGATGACAATTATAATTATAGTTGTTTGTTATGGTCCCAGGATAGTTACGTGTACGAAAACAGGAACACATCGACTTCGACAACACCCTAAATCATCAAAAGCTGATCCGCCACACCCACAACGTGCACCAGATCAAGGCAACAACCAGCCATCTACATGGAACGCCATCTACAGCCAGCCGAACCAACTACTGAAGCCTCCCAGGAAGCAGCCGGAGAACCAGGACGCAGCCAAGGATGACTCCATAGAACTATATCAAATGGAGTTGCCTGTTCCTCGGAGAGGGCAGAATGTTCACACATGAACGTGCCATTTCAGCGAGATAATCCTACGTGATTAAAATAAGGAAAACATATTACTTATTAAATATATAAAACTAATAAAACATCACGTAATCACGTAAGGTATATAGCACTGAGATGGTACATTACACGCATAGCACACAATCATAATGTGGTATGTGTGTACATAGGATAAGTTTAGTATATAAGATCATGTAGATTAAGCAATAAGGGAGTCATTAAGTTGATTCCGACTTTGACTCACTACCCTTCCTCCACCTCTCACTGTGGCCAAGACACCTTTAGCCATCAACCGATCTGTCGTGTGAGTCTGCTCGACAGGCAGTGAGAAAACCATCACCACCATACCCCATTCCTACCCACATTCCGTCTGCCATCATAGGTCTCAGTTGGCAGATATCCTGCACCTATCTATATAAGTATATATAAATACGTATAGTAGGGCTAGGGTCTAGGGACTGTAGGGCTAGGGCATTAGGCGCGTACGAAGAGTAGGTCTGTATCACAGCATACCACAGTGTACCACTATAGTACGTGCCTTAGGTTAAGGGCTTGGTAGTAGGTGCGTAGAAGTGCTGGTCTGTATCACAGTATACCACAGAGTACCAAGCCTATACGCATTGTACGCTAGGCAAATATAGGATAGAACTTAGACTACATAGGTTATTGGGCTTAGGGGATCTAGGATAGGATATTGTAAGTGTTAGATTATCTAGGATAGTGTAGGATAACGTTAGCTAGTAGTACTTAGGATTAGGTAATTAGTCCTGTACAGCGCGATCTTAGCGTAAGGCTATTATCACGCTGTACAATTACTATATATTTGTAATTACGAATTACTAAGTATGAATCACTTACTCACTGTAACATATTACTAACTTGCTTTTATTTGATTAATAAAACAAAATACATTTTTGTTTTAATTAATTAATCTTTATTTAAGAACTAGCTTTTGCCTGCGACTACGTTCGCGTACAATAATGACTTCCTGTAGATTCTTCGTATAAAAGCTATCCTATGCGCCTTCTCGAGTTCCAAACAATGTCTGTACCAAATTTCACAGAAACCAGTACAAAAAGAGAAGAAAGAAAGAAGAGTTACTTTCGCATTTATAATATAGTTTGGATTTTACAATATATGTAACTAGCCCCAGGTTCGCATGGGTGTAATACTGATACTTAGGTAATTTCTCCAGTATTTTCTAACCTAAGCTAATCTTCCTCTTTAATTACGTTACCTATTAAAAAACTGCATCAAAATTCGTTGAGTAGATTTAAAGGTAGATGATAACAAATACATTTAATAATTTAGTTGAATAATTATTTCCGTCTCAATAAGCGACGCATTTTTCAAATTGCATTCTCTCATTTATCTGTAATTATTTACCGTTTTATTCATTTTTCTGTTTTTTTAATATAATATATATTTTATTATTTACTAATACTATTTATTTATCATGTAAATTCTATAATTTAAATTTTAAATTTTCTTTCTCCAGGAGGATTCACTCCTTTTTTTGTAAACAAAAACTAATTTACGTATTAATTTTTGATATGTGTTTTTTTTTACCTATTTAACTGAAGCATATATTCTTCTTCACTGGGTGAATTACCACCCTAGTCAATAGGGAAATTCTAAGTAATTTATTATATTACTCTTTTTCCAGTTTGGAATGCTAACGCCCTACCGACAGGCAATCTATATGGATCCTACAGACATTATGCGAGCTACGATCAATGTCTAAAACCTCCATGGTTGCACACCCATCCAAAATTAAAAACTCAGTACTGCTTCACTGACTTTCTGCTTTCTAAAGAGGATGATATGAAAACAATAGCTGATTATGACCCTATGGAGTCTACTATGGAATATATTAATGTAAGTGCATTTTTATGGTTTGAGAAATCTTCAAGAGGTCATAGAGGTCATAGAGGTGGCGTTCGTTGTTTAGGTGTAATTATCATCATCATCATCATCATCATCATTATCAGTCGGAAGGCATCCACTGCAGAGAGAAACGTGGCCTGCCCATTTCAGCATGCAGATTTTAAGAGCTATGTCGGTGACACTGGTTCTTTGACGAATTTGCACATTGCAAATTTTGACCAATTCCAAGCACAGGTCTCTCAATCACTCGCTGGACGATTTTGCATCTCTAACAAACCAGAAGGAAGGGACCAGGTCTCGTTACCTCATGTCATCACTGGCAACACACACTGATTGTGTACCCAGATTTTAGACACTACGGGATTTTTAATAAGAAAATGTCGTTAACTTTCAATCCTCTTTATAAATTAGACGACCTCTTTTTATTTTGGTATACTTCTTAAAATTGGCTATCAATTTTGTCGTTTTAGTCACCATCTCCATCTGGTTTCCCGATGAATCATATCATGTGGGGCTTGTGTATACCAGCGGCCTGCTCACCTCCAGCAGTCTCCAAGCTGACCAGGGTGGTGTATGAGGCCGCCACCTTCAGCAGCATAGCCTCTGACGTCACGGTGAAACACTGCCAGGAGGCTGGGGAGACCCTGCCATACTCCACTGGGTTTTATATCTTCATGTAAGTCGCATTCAGAATATTACTTGTTTGACACTGTGAAGGAGAAGACCTATGTTAAGAGGCAATAGAAAGTCCAAGGGTTTGGGAGATTTAGAGATTGGGGGATTGGACCTCCGGTAACCTCACTCACTTGGCGAAAAGCAACTGAGGTTGTTTAACGCCGGCTTTCTGTGAGGTCGTTGTATCACTCCACTCGAGCCGACTCATTAGTGCCGAAGCATGGCTCTCCCACACTTTTGAACAATGAACTAAATAAGCATAAAAAAATCAAAAGTATCTACTTTTTTTTTCAGAGCATTGGTTCTGACGCTGGTAACTACTGCTGTGGTTTCTACTTGCTATCGTATGCATGTGCCAACTGAAAAACAGTCTTCAAACAATATAAGTAAGACACATTTTCGCATGACTATTAGTTTTTAGTTTACACACGTTTACCTGAGGAACAAAACCTCGTTAAAAAGCTTTAAGTTTACAATTAAAATGAACATTTGTAATTTTAATCAAAAATCAACCTTATATTCCAGTAAACATCGTAACGAAATCGTTCTGTATCATAAAGAATCAGGAAGAATTGGTTAAAGTCAATAAAGATGAAATTCATGTGATGAATGGCGTCAGATTTCTGACTTCATCTATTGTTATAGGCGTACATGTAATGATGTACGTGTCAGTAGCTGGTATCAGCAATTTATTAGATGTTGATATGGTGAGTCCTTAAAAATATTTTTCAATAACTTTATCCGTTTCATTTAAACTTTAAACTTCAGCAACAACGTTGTGTTTCGTTGTATGAGTGAGGCTACCAGAGGACTAATCCTTCCCCTCACCCATACCTTCCCTGCCCAAACCGAAGCCCCTATCCCTTAAACAACGCCCTCGTAACTTCCCTGATGGTAATCCGTCTGCTGCTGTTCGTTTGCCGACCTATATAACAAAAAATATCTTACTCCCCTGTCTGGAATGACTATCTACAATGTGCACTAAGAAGCATAAGCACGCCAATTTTGACTTTTTCACTAACGACAAATATAATTATGATTTAAATTACGCTGACTACTTATAAAAACCTGCCTTGTCAAATAATTGTTCACTTGTCCTCCCTGTTAAGATAGAATTAAAGTTGTCCAAAATTTTGGCTGTAAATTTTGCATTTTCTTCAGCAGCTGTTTGTATTTCTATATCAAAAGACTAATTAAAATTCATTTCCTTTTTCCAGTTTTTGGAAGGTTTTGGTGGGTTATTCCTTCATTTTGATCTGTTTGTGGATACGTTTTTCACAATGTCTGGTCTACTTCACATCAAAGGTCTACTGAAAAGACGGCAGAATCTGTTTGGTGTACTTTGGAAACGATACATAAGGTGAATATGATACTATATAAAGAGTAGTTATTTCTAGATACTGGAACTTAATTTCTAGGTCTACTGGCTCTTAAATTTTCTTCTGAAGTCTTTTGTCCAAGATCAAGAACATTAAAAATTGCTTTTAAAAGTTAGACAGACAATGATGAAGCATTTCTTGTAGGTTAATAGGACCGTTTGCGCTGATAGTTTTCTATTTGATATCCGTGTCGAAGCATTTTAGTCCTGGCCCCGCCTGGATAGGACTGGAAGAAACAAATGTCTGCGAGAAATATTGGGTAAAGAGTTTACTCATGATGAATCCGGATGTAAAACATATTGTGAGTACATTTTTTTATTATTATAACTTATAAAAGACTTCGTGGCATCGTGGTGGTGGTTTTACGAGGCTTCTGATGCATGAGAGTGGCGGTTCGAAATCTGGCAAGTATCAATGTGACTTTTCCGAGTTACTTGTACTTTCTATTATTATTTAGATACTACTGATATTTTTATTTTTGGAAATCCCTAATCCGCCTTAAGCAAACATAGTGCTTAAAGCTCAAATTTTCTATTCTTCGTGTGAGAAGAGGCCTTTGCCCAGCGGTATGCATTTAAAGGCCCATGGTGTGATCTGATGTGCGACACCTATGACATTGAAGTATATTCTATTTTTTCCAGTGCCATACAGTGTCTTGGTACTTGCCCTGCGACTACCAGCTGACAATACTGGGGACTCTTCTCTTCTACTTCTATCAGAAGAATAAGACTATCGGATTTGTTTCTTATGCAGTTGTTGCAGTCTTCTCTATGGTCATTCCTGGAGTGCTGACGTACCTGCTCCAACTTCCTGGTGTGCTTTTCTCGGAATATGGGTAATACAGAAAAATTTTAAGTAGAAGTCAGTCATTGAAATCTATCCAGAAAATACAAGTTTTGCTTTTCTGGCCATAGTAAGGTTACGATCGCCAGCTCAAAGATTACTTTTCATTTATTTTAGAGGACTATCAGAGACAACACAAAATGATTAATTTTAATTAAAATTCATTTCAGTAAGTACATAATCCGATATCGTGAAACATGGGAATTCAGCTTCATCTACACAGCCTTCTACAGTCGCGCCAGCACATACCTCGTGGGTGTCGCCATGGGATACCTCATGCATATGTACAAACCTGATGATCATAGGAATTCTATTTCGAAAGTAAGTGTTTTTTAGTACATACTTCTCTATCTTCTTTATAAATTTGATTATTTGGATCCATTGTGTATTAATCTGTTTCCGTCTAAGTATTACTGCCCCCTAAAAAATCTACGTAACTTTTATCACATCTACTCTTTAAAAGCGTTAGCTATTTTGAATATTACACACCACACTAGGATTTTCACCTGTGTCGTAGATTTGTTTTCAAACATACAGAAACCAGCCTAAACTAAGGACTAATAGACTTGGGAGTAAGGTTCAAATCGACTTGCCGTTTACAAAAAAATGTAAACTACACTAAAGGAGATTACTTACTTTAGTATTTATTTAGTAAACCAAAGGTTGACTTGTAGAGAAGGGTATATGGGATAAAGTCCTCCTTGCGTACCAATTATTTCATTTTGTGTACATAGAAGCCTAAATAAATTACTTTTTTTACTTCCAGAAGTGGTCTACAATTGGTATAGCAATGAGTTTTATCACAATGTCTGTCACGATGTCTCTTGGATACATACTCAAGCAACGAGGGCGGTTCCCTATAGAAGCTTCAATTATTGCAGCCACCAACAGGGTCTTCTGGGCTGCAGCCATCTGCTGCATTATAGGGATGTGTGAATATGGAACTGTTCGTAAGTATGCGTGAAATTAGAAAGTGTGGGAGAGCCATGCTTCGACATGAATGACACGCTACTGCCTTAAAGAAAATCGGCATGAAACAACCACAGCGTTGTGTGAACCTAAAATTACTAATAAGTTTGGAATCGCCTACCGCCTAGAGCAGGCGAGGTAATCAATGCTCAGTCCTTTTCCGTGTGAGAAGAGGCCTTTGCTCAGTAGAGGGCACTTGTAAGCTCATGAAGAGTGTGTGTGTTTAGAATATTCCACTTAGCATTTGATCATCTGTGTTCAACTTTACAATATTAGTGACGCACCGATCATTCATCCTAAAAAAAAGTGTATCTGTATTTGTTTTTAGCTATAGTCTCCAACATCCTAAAGTGGCCCGTCTTCACACCTCTTAGCCGGCTCTCCTACGGAATCTATATGACACATTCCCTCGTCATACAGAGGTATAAGCTCGCACAAAGATCACCTCATGTCTTCGACATGTTTTGCCTGGTAAGTCACGTTAACGTATAAATATACTTTATCGGCTGAAAATTATATCTACATACTTATATCCAAACTTAAAAATACTATTGATTTCTAGAAGTAGTAGTTTCATTTTAGCGTTTCCCTTAGGTCCCAAAATTGAAAATAACGGCTTACTCACATGAGCTCACTCAGCCAAGCTGAGAACGGCGACGTCAGTTGGCTCCGTGACGTCGCCGAGACGCGTACGCTGCTCATGAATAAGAGTCCCGTCGTAACTTGAAACTTGTAAAGCTATTCTCAGTTAATTCCCGTGAGAAGTCGTCATTTTCAGTTCTGTTAATCTACTACTACTATCCCAAAAATATCTTTAAGACCTTCTCTAAATCACTATACATATAGTACCGATAGATTTTTAGAAAACTCTGTACAAAATAAGTTTATCGTTAAGGACGTAGTTCAAAATTCCATTCTAGATCTTCTAAGAATCTCTATAGTTAATACATCTTTATATAAACAGTTCTCTTTTCTCCCAGGTTTACGATGGTATGGGGATCTTGGCTATGTCGATAGGGCTAAGCTATGCGATGTGGCTGTTTGTGGAGGCGCCACTGATCAACATTACCAACCAACTCTTTTTCAATAAGTATGTTAATCTTTTTGCGTAATCTACTAGCTTAGTAGCTTCTGGATTTTAAGAAAAGACTAAAGAAACTATTGTATAACACAGTGATGGGGGTCCTACAGCCTCGAGGGAAACCAGTAGGAGCCAAGCTGGTCTAAGTTGGTGGCCGACTGTGATAGGCCCAGTCCATGGGCTAACAACAACAGTATGCTAGAGACATGCTTCGGATCAAATAGTATTACGGCCTTAAAAACCAGACTGAAACTATGCTTGCATCCTGTGGCTAAATCCTTCGACAACCCCAATCCCAATCTCTAGATCCTCAAATCTCTTACCGTCAGAAGGACAGCAGTTCTGCCTTCAAATTAACTTGCGACGCTGGTTGCTTACCACCAGCTAACTCTGCTTCTAACGTCAACGTCTTATTCACACCTATTTTATACAGGTCAAATGGAAAAGAAACAGACACAAGTCCTGACGGAAATGGAATCCTCCTACATCAGAATGGAATTGCTAAGACCAAGAATTCGTAAGTTACAAAAAGCAAGAGATGTATGTGTATTTAGATATAAGCTTTAAGCATCATCATCATCAGCCTACAAGTGCCCACTGCTGAGCAAAGGCCTCTTCTCATACGGAGAAGGTTAGAGCATTAATCACCACGCTTGCTCAATGCGGGTTGGCGATTTCAAACTTATGAGTCCAGGTTTCCTCACGATGTCAGTGGTGTCTAAATAATCATAGAAAGTACATATAACTTAGCGAAAGTCACATTGGTACTTGCCAGGTTTCGAACCCTCACCCTCATGCATGAGAAGCGGGCGCTTTAACCTCCGGACCGCCACGACAAAATAACGCTTTAAGCATATGTTGTCGTAATAAAAGCTACCTATACTTTTAAAATTAGCTCGATAATAACACTCAACTTGAGATTTGTAGCAAACTTCTTTCTAAATGAACTTTTTTTATTCTAAACAGGTTTAATGAAGTAGCTCCAGATAGAAGTAATGACGATGATGGAATCCGGTATCAGAGTGGAATAACTAAAACTAAAGTCTTATAACAGTTGTTATTGTGAATTATAATAGGTCTTTACCTATGAAATTGCCGTTCTGCAGTACTGGCCATTTCAAATCAAAATAGTTTTTGTTAGGCTAAGGCTAATAAATTTTGTTTTAAAACATGGGATTCTTTTTCCAAAAGTAGTCATTTGTTTATTGACTAGTGTTACATTTTCATCGCATTCTATTGTGTCGCGAATTACCATTATTGCAATATTGATATTTCATTCTTATAAATGACTAACCACTCGTCCCTGCTTCACACGGGTGTACTAATACCTACCTCGCTAACGACAAAAGGACACTTTTCCCTTCTACTTTTTTAGAATTTTCTATCATAAGAACCTTCTCCTGACAAAAACAAGCACAAACAAAAATAATTTACAAAATTGGTCTATAGTCGTTGGTGAGTTATGCGCTCATTTTGCAATCTATAGACACTAATATTATAAAGAGGTAAAATTTGTAAGTTTGTATGTCCCTACATACAAACTTGCAATCTTTCGAACCGGTAATCGGATTGCCAAAATTCTTCTCTGATATATAGCTGCAATGTTCCTGGGTGCTATAGGCTATAAAACATCACACTACGGTTAAATGGAGCGGGTGAATCAGCGTGAGAGAAATATTGATTATACATTTCATTTATTTACCCGAAGTTTGGTATGAAGTACACGACCCTTTGGAAAGGTAAAATTTAAATAAATATAACTAAAACAGTAAATTACAAAATAAAGCTCTCTCTAACGAAATTTCGGAATGAACCCAGACGGCCGGAATTTGGGAGTTGCCTAACCGAAACAATTAGTGGAATCAAACTGAATCCCTAGTTTCGGTCTAGTGGCGCCCTCTACGCGCCATTGGTTACTTAACGATCCGATTAAATGTTCTGACGACATCCAGGGAAATTGTTGGATAACTTATAATCTAAAGGAAAAGATAATTACTGAAACGCATTTTTTGTGATAGGTCGGCAAACGAGCTGAAGGATTACCTGATGGTAAGCAATCACCGCCGCCCATGGACACCCGCAACAACAGAGGAGTTACGAGTGTGTTGCCGACCTTTTGGGGATTAGGGATTTGGGAGATTTAAAGATGGGGAAGGAATGAGGGGAGAGGGGTATTGGGCCTTGGGATATGATATAAAGTAAAGCGCTTTACTTATAAATATACGCTTTACGGCTTGGTTTAGTAAAAATTAAATCTAAGACATCTCAAATACTTACTCACTTAGCAAGAAGCGCAGCAGAGTAATTAGCAGACTGATGGATTCTGAATTTTTAAGCTTCGAGCAACTAACATTTTATGATTTATTACGTCTCATAGAAATTGGATTGCAATGAATAGTAATAATGAGATAAAAATGGGCGTGCCGCAGGGTTCCATATTGGGTCCGTTTCTCGTTTTAGTAAAATCAAAATGACGAAATAATATCAATGACTTGCCATTTCTATTTAAAATTTAATCAAAAGTGGTTCTGTTTGCAGATGATACATATTTTTAATACAATTTGTTTTTTTTTTTTGGAAGCAAGAATCATCAAATTATAATGGTTTTTCTCCTTCTGGATGGAGTAATAGGAAATCTTAGTCTTATTAACTTAAACCCACCTCGTTTCTTCACCCCGGTCCAGGCCGAGGCTCGGGTACATCAATGGGGGACTTTAATTTTTTTTTTATATAATAAGTCGGCAAATGAGCAGACGGATTACCTGATGGTAAGCAATCAACGCCGCCCATGGACACCCGCAACGGAGGAGTTACGAGTGCGTTGCCGACCTTTTAGGGATTGGGGATTTGGAGATTTAGGGATTGGGGAAAGGTCTGGGAAGGGGAAGGACGGTAACCTCACTCACACGGCGAAACACAACGCTGTGGTTGTTTCACGCCGGTTTTCTGTTAGGCCGTGGTATCACTCCGGTCGAGCCGACTCATTCGTGCCTAAGCATGGCTCTCCCACACTTTAATGATGATATATTAAATATTTTGTGTCTTAAGTGAAATTGCTATTAAATACATTATAAGCGCCAATACTAAAACAAAACTGTCAGTTCTTTGCCGGCTACATTTCGGCAAGTGTGCGTTTACTACCAAGCAATGTAGTAGGTAAATGCTAACCCACAATTTCAGCAAAAAAAAAGGTTTTAATCGTAGTTGTCAACAGCCCCAAATATTCAAAATCTAAAAAATAAAAAATATGAGATTAAAATACTGTTTCTGCTTTTAATTTCTGTCCATGTTACAAATTCTAAAGAAAGTAAAATACAAAGTTAATGTGGGAGAGCCATGCTTCGGTACGAATCAAATCAATCAGCTCGATCAAAGTGACACCATGGCCTTACAGAATACTGGCGTGAAACAACCACAGCGCTGTGTTTTGCCATGTGAGTGAGGTAACGGGAAATCCTTTTTCCCCTCCCTCAATCCCTCGCTAATCCCTAAATCTCCGAAACCCCTTTGGTGTTGCGAGTGCCCATGGGCGGCGCTGATTGCTTACCATCAGATAATCAGTCCCCTCGTTTGCCGACCTATCACATAAAAAACACAAATACATCATAGATGTATTGCCTTTCTACCAATTGCTATAATACTTAATGAAGGCGCACTGAGAAATAGCTTATAATGCTTTCAGCTTAAGAACTAGCTTCAAATGAACGAGGATATAAATACTTACTGATATATTTTTTATTTCTTATTTACTTTCTAATAGAAATTGTAATTTAATAATATCTAAGTATTTCTTTGTAAAAGTTACCTTATTGTGAAGTGTGAAAGAGACATGCTTTAGCACGAATGGTTCAACTCGACAGAATAGGTACCAGCGTGAATAAACAACAGCGTTGTATTTCGTCATGTGAGTGAGGTTACTGAATGTCCCCAACTCCATCAACCCTCAAATGCCGAATGCCGAAAAAAATGTTCGAATATCCACGGGCGACGCCACACATCACACTTTCACCGTCAAAAACCAAAAACATGTATATCAACTAAACCAAATACATATGTATAATGAAACAATGAATTAATATTTTTGCAAATAGGCCATAAAACGGCACTTTTACACGTCACTTTATATGTGAAAAACTAGATGAAGCCGCTATAACAACGCAAAGTCTCTTAAATTACCTGAGGGTAAGCAATCTTCGCCACTCATGGCCACGTGTTACACCTGAAGATTACGAGTGCGTTGCTGACTTTTTGGAGATTAGGATATCGAACATTTAGAGATTAAAGAGGAAAAGG